GGGCCCGATCCTGCAGAACGAGGCCGCCCTGGACGTCCTGCAGGAGAGCATCCGGCGCGTCAAGGAGGGCCCGCCCTCCCTCACCACCATCTGCTTCTACGCCTTCTACCACACGGAGCAGCTGCTGAACGCGGCCGAGATCTCCCCCGACAGCAAGCTGCTGGCCGCCGGCTTCGACAACTCCTGCATCAAACTCTGGAGCCTCCGGTCCAAGAAGTTGAAAGCCGAGCCCCACCAGGTGGACGTGTCCCGCATCCGCCTGGCCTGCGACGTCATGGAAGAGGAGGTAGGGGTGTCCTGCTTCCTTCCCCGCACCCGCCTCGCTCGTCTGCTTAGAACAGTGGTCGGCAAACTGCGGCTCGCCAGCCACATGCGGCTCTTTGGCCCCTTGAGTGTGGCTCTTCCTAAGCCTTAGGAGGACCCTAATTAAGTTAATAACAGTGTACCTACCTATTTAGTTTCAGTTCAAAAAATTTGGCTCTCAAAAGAAAGTTCAATCGTCGTACTGTTGGTATTTGCCTCTGTGGACTAATGAGTTTGCCGACGGCTGGCTTAGAATATTCTTTCCAGACGTGACTGATCTTACAGAGCAGGGGCTTTTTGACTTATAACCCTCATCCGATAGCAAACTCATGCCGTGTAACCTGCAGCCTTTGAGTCCTGCCCATGCCTAACCTCGGAAGAGATGAAAATTATTATTGTGTTTTTTTTTTAATATAGATTTTTATTGATTGCAGAGAGGAAGGGAGAGGGAGAGAGAGAGAAACATCCATGATGAGAGGGAATCGTGCATCGGCTGCCTCCTGCACGCCCCCTCCTGGGGATCGAGCCCACTACCTGGGCATGTGCCCTCGTCAGGAATCGAACCGTGACCTCCTGGTTCACAGGTGTACGCTCAACCACCTAGCCACACCGGCCGGGCACTCCCACAGTTAAGTTCTTATATAAATTTCCTGGAGTAGAGCAGTGAGTCATTCTTGAAATTTTGAAGTGTTGTTGTAACCTCGTTGGAATGGAAAGCACTGATATTCGTGGCCACAGTGGAACTGTAAGCTCCCAAATGCTAACGTGTTTTGAGTCCTCGGTGCCTGCCACAACCATTTTGAACGTGGGTGGACACGCGTGTGTATTTCCCCTTCACTTTCCCTCGATTCTGTACACATTGGAGCCTTTGCTTCATTTCAGTTTAATGGTTTTTTTCAAGTAGAAGTTAAAAGGATGCGCTTTTCCTAGGCGAGAACCTAAAGCTCACACATGTATTTATTTATACACCCACCAAGGCAATGGGTGAGAGAATCTTCATCTCGCTGCTCTTCATTCTGTTAGTGTTTCATGAAAACCCACCGTGATCGATGAATCCCGGGGTCGAGGCGGCTGTAGCTTTAAGGGGCCTGCCTGTGAGCAAGTGAAGGGAAAGGGGGGTTTTGGACACAGACAGCGTCCTGGTGGGGGAGAGGTTGGGGGAGGGGCTCCCCCCCGGGGACCAGGGGCGGCTGTCTTCCCGGCTGTCCCCCACACAGGAAGTCTGTCCGAGAATCACAGGGGTCACTTGGCCGTAGAGTCTCCAGGCCTTGCGTTGCTCCTCCGGGGAAATGTTTGAGACCCCCCGGAAAGTCACGGTTCTAAAGCCACATCTCTCTTCCCTCGTGGACACCAGCAGTGCGTGCCTGGTCACAGGGTGTGCGTGCCGTTTACTGGTGACCGTGCCTTTCTGGCTTACTGTTCAGATGGGCCCGGGGTTAGTTTTGGCTACACAGCTACAGTGGTTCTGTATTCATCATGCACTGAGCCCGGCCGGCATGGCTCAGTGGTTGAGTGTCAAGCTGTGAACCAGGAGGTCACGGTTCGATTCCCGGTCAGGGCACAGGCCCGGGTTGCGGGCTCGATCCCCAGTGTGGGGCGTGCAGGAAGCGGCCAATCCATGATTCTCATCATGGATGTTTCTGTCTCTCTCTCCCTCTCCCTTCTTCTCTGAAATCAATAAAATATGTATATATATACTAGAGGTCTGATACACGAAATTCTTGCAAGGGGCTAGGCCAGTGATGGCGAACCTATGACATGCGTGTCAGAGGTGACACGCGAACTCATTTTTTTGGTTGATTTTTCTTTGTTAAATGGCATTTAAATATATAAAATAAATATCAAAAATATAAGTCTTTGTTTTGCTATGGTTGCAAATATCAAAAAATTTCTATATGTGACATGGCACCAGAGTTAAGTTGGGGTTTTTCAAAATGCTGACACGCCGAGCTCAAAAGGTTCGCCGTCACTGGGCTAGGCCCTCGCAGCCCTGGCTTTGTCCGGAAGGTCATCCGGATGGTCGTTCCGCTGTTCTGCCATCTGGTCCGTGTCAGGATTGGTCTCAGTGGGCTGGACACGGAGCCGCATGGCTTCTAAAGCAGCCAGACCTGACATGCCCCTGGAGTGAAAGCACTGAGGGCTGAACATACCCTCAGAAGTACAGCGGGGCCTTGACTTATGAGTTTAACTCGTTCCGAGACCGAGCTCGTTAAGGAGCTCGTTAACTCAAATTACTCTATCAACTCGATGCAAAAAATCTTTTAAATCATGAAACTGAGACCACGTCTGCGCGGTCGTGGGCGCAAGGACGTGTCAGGATTGGTCTCAGTTGGCTGGACACGGAGCCACGTGGCTTCTAAAGCAGCCAGACCTGACATGCCCCTGGAGTGAAAGCACTAAGGACTGAACATAACTCAGAAGTAAATCTTTTCGGACAGCGGCTTTCAGGATCCACAAGGAAAGTCACCATAGGCTACCCTTTCAGTCGGCTTTGGAAATCCCTTAGCCTCGACCCAAGAGTGAGACCCACAGACATCACTCCATAAACAGCCTCACGTTGCTGTAGCTTTTTATTTTTTAATATACTTGATTGATTTTTTACAGAGAGGAAGAGAGGGGGATAGACAGTTAGAAACACTGATGAGAGAGAAACTTCGATCAGCTGCCTCCTGCACACTCCCTACTGGGGATGTGCCCGCAACCAAGGGACATGCCCTTGACCGGAATCGAACCTGGGACCCTTCAGTCCGCAGGCCGATGCTCTATCCACTGAGCCAAACCTGTTAGGGCATAGGTTACTTAATTTTACATGATTTTAGAGATCCCTTAATTCACTTAAAAGCAGGAATCTACACTAATAAAAGACAAACATGCAAATTGACCATACCTTCGCTATGCTGTAAGCCACGCCCACTAGCCAATCACAGCGACTATATGCAACAGGGCTGCTGTAGCTTTTGAGGGGCTAAATCCTTGGCTGCAAAACGCATGGAAGGAAAGAGGGGTGTGAGCTGTCGGGGACTTTTTACTCGGCCACGCGGTTATGGGCGGATCTCCTGGGGTCGCCCTTAAGAGCAAGACCCCTGTCATGTCCCGGGTAGGGGCTATTTCCCAAGCAGCGCCCCCGCTTCCGCTGCCCCGAGATTGTGTTTCCCACACGGACCACTAAACATCTCTTCTTGTGTCCCCTTTGCGGCCCCGCCCGGCGTGCCCAGGAGGAGGAGGAGGAGGCCGAGATGAAGACCCTGCGGGGCCACTGCGGGCCCGTGTACAGCACCCGCTTCCTCGCCGACAGCTCGGGGCTGCTGTCCTGCTCCGAGGACATGTCCATCCGCTACTGGGACCTGGGGACCTTCACCAACACGGTGCTGTACCAGGGCCACGCCTACCCCGTGTGGGACCTGGACATCAGCCCCTACAGCCTATACTTCGCCAGCGGCTCCCACGACCGCACCGCGCGGCTGTGGTCCTTCGATCGGACGTACCCGGTGAGGATCTACGCCGGCCACCTGGCGGACGTGGACTGCGTCCGGTTCCACCCCAACTCCAACTACCTGGCCACGGGCTCCACCGACAAGACCGTGCGGCTGTGGAGCGCCCAGCAGGGGAACTCGGTGAGGCTTTTCACGGGCCACCGCGGCCCCGTGCTCTCCCTCGCCTTCTCCCCCAACGGGAAGTACCTGGCGTCGGCGGGCGAGGACCAGCGGCTGAAGCTGTGGGACCTGGCCTCCGGGAGCCTTTACAAGGAGCTGCGCGGCCACACGGACAACATCACCAGCCTCGCCTTCAGCCCGGACAGCAGCCTGGTGGCCTCGGCGTCCATGGACAACTCGGTGCGCATCTGGGACATCCGCAACAGCTTCTGCAGCGCGGCCGCCGACGGCTCCTCGGGCGAGCTGGTGGGCGTGTACACGGGGCAGATGAGCAACGTCCTGAGCGTGCAGTTCATGGCCTGCAACCTCCTCCTGGTGACGGGAATCACGCAGGAAAATCAGGAACATTGATTTTTTGATTTTTTTTTTTTTTTTTTACACCCTCGTGGTGACGGACCGGGCAGCCGTGGAGCGAGGGCTCCGGGCTGCATCTGACGAGCGAATCACTGACTGACTGTGAAAGACTCCCCGCCTCTCCCCGTGTCCCGTGCGGGCATCCTGGGCGCGGTCACCCCTTCCTCGGCCCCCCCCAGTGTCCAGGACGCGGGGGCGGGGAGGGGGTACGGACAGGCGGTGGTGGTGATGAGGGTGACGGACCGGGCAGCCGTGGAGCGAGGGCTCCGGGCTGCATCTGACGAGCGAATCACTGACTGACTGTGAAAGACTCCCCGCCTCTCCCCGTGTCCCGTGCGGGCATCCTGGGCGCGGTCACCCCTTCCTCGGCCCCCCCCAGTGTCCAGGACGCGGGGGCGGGGAGGGGGTACGGACAGGCGGTGGTGGTGATGAGCGGACGCGAGATCAAGAATTGGGGTGCTCTGGAGGTGAGGGGGCACGTTCTTCCAAAGAGGCCCCTGTGTCCTCGCGAGAGCAACTCCTGTCTGTCTCATTCCCCCCCCTCTCTCCCCACTTTGTGGAACCACGATGCTGCTGCTGACCGGCCGGGGGGTCCCGCTTTGGTCCCAGGAGGGTCGCAGGTCACAGCCGCTGGCTGGCGGGAATGCAGGGGTGGGGGCGAGGAGCATCCAGGATTTTTATTGTTGTTATAGTAATTATGATGATGATGATGATGATGATGATGGAGAAGGGGGCACCTAGCACTGGCAGAGGCCTCTCTCTGCTCTCCACCTTCAGGTCCGGCTCCTGGCACTGGCTCTGATGCTTGACATGTTGAGGTTCAGGGAATCTGGGGGCTCCGGGAGCGCAGTGTCTTGTGGGAAAGGGGGGATTTCTGGGCGACGGGTGGGTCACCCCCCTCCCCCTGCCCCCGACGTGTTCCTAGAAGTGGGTGCATCCAGTGGAGGAAGCCTGGGGCTCGGGCAGTGATGGTGGGAAAGCGAGACCTCGTGGCTCACTTCTGTGAACAAGGCTCCGCCCCCCCGGGCCCCCGAAATGTCGGAAAGAAGTGAAAATAATGTGAGGTGATCAGTCCGGAGGCAGAATGAGAAAGCGTTGGCTTCCCCCGCCAGCGTACGGTCAGAGGGGTGGCTTTTCCGGCCTTTGGCTCCTTGAGGTCACTGCTCCCGCCTCCTGCATCGCAACAGCAGCTCGATGCACACGCCTTGTGAAACACACTGTAAGTACCATGCACGCATCCGAAAACCCCGAGGACAACGCCGGGTCTGATTTGTGGGAAAAGGATTCAATCTTTCTGGGGTTTTTTGTTTTTTTTTTCTGAAAAGAGTTATTTTGTATTTTGTTTTCTATTAAAATGTATTTAGTTTCCCAAAAACAAAAGTGTTGGCATCTCATTTAAGCTGTGAGGAGAGGCGGGTGTGGCCTGTCTCCAGGCCGGACCAGCCCCTCGGAGGCGCACCTTGGTCCGCTCTGTGCGCTGCTCAGCCTGCTTGGAATCACGCTTCCTCGGCATTCCCGTGGCTCACCGATCGCATTTCATACCGTTCGTACATCCCAGACTGCCATGCTGACCGGAGACAACGTCTACGTTGCCACCCAGAGTTATTTGGTGAGATTCTACTTCCAGTTCTCCTCCTCTAAAGACCCGGTTGTGAAATCGCCAGGGGGTGTTATTTAATGAACTCAAACTATTTATTGAACCATTTCCAGGTAAAGGACTCGTGCAGAGATGTAAATGACGCCAGAATTTCTACAGTGTACTTCCGACGCGTAATTTTCTGGCAAGGACACGAGGTTTACCAGGAGGGTGTCTAGGGAGACTCTAGAATTCTGTGCCAAAAAACTTTTTTTTTACTTGAGCCTAAGGTGCTAATCGGACATGTTTCTTATAGATAAAAATATATATTTGAGACATTGCAAGAAGGATCCTTTGGCAACTTAGACAGTTATCACCTTCCACGGGGCCTGCAGGGAAAAGCCTAGAATATGCAGGCGTGTGCTCGTCTGTATGGAGTGAACCCCTCCGCTGGATTGTACGGCGTATTGCTAGAAATAATGAAATTCTCTGATTGGACCGAATCATTCTCAGAAGTGGAACTATCACTGATCTGGAAGCTTTTGTGTTCGTTTGTTTGTTTTTTAATGCAGAACTTCTTTGATTAAACGCAGAAATGTATAGGTTGGTCAGTCTTCACCTTGCCGATCATGTATATATACTTTTGTGATTTCAATGGAAGCTCTTAATGATTTGCATGTTTGGCCTGTTTTTTTTTTTTCCTTTTGTGCGCTCATTTTAATGTGGGGTCATCAAACTTTCTAGAACGCCCCTCACAACTTTCCCCGAAATCTTGGAACTATTATGAGGTTGGTGGGTGTGTGTGTCTGCGTGTCCACAAGGGTGTACAAAGGACGTGGGCGCCCCCTTCAGGTGGCTCTCTGCTGTCTTATTTCCTCTTCAGAGCAGTCCTATGGTGTGGACAGGACGGGTGATGCTACCATTTTGTATTGAAAATAACCTAAAGCCTAAAAAAAAGCTATATAATTTATTTTTTTGGAATAAAGAAACTTTAGAATATTCAGTTATTTTGAACCACAATGATGAATCTGTGATGTGTATATGGTGTGGGCGGGGTACAGCTGAAATAATCTTACACTGACAGGCTCAGCAAATCTGATTGTAAATTTTAATTTTAGCCGTAGACTGGCCGGAAGAAAGAAAGAATTACGATAAAGGAAAGTCCTGAACAGAGAAAACGGGAAACCGTGAAAAGTTTTTCAATTCAAGGTCTAGCTTCCAAGGAGACGATGACTAGCTTTTCATTGGTTTCATGCGTGTATTAAAAAATGTCTTGGTTGTATTAAAAAAAAAAGGTATTTTTTTGAGTACGTAGGCTTCTCATTTTGCTGTCGCCCAGACTGGTATTTAAGTTTATGGATTAAAAACTTAGTCTGTACTTCAACCTGGCTTTCAGTTGCATGTTTGGGAAATGTGTCCGTTCACTCTACGGCCGGGCCGCAGGCTGGCGAGGTTTTTGTTTGCTCCCGGGGCTGCTGTCCTCTCGAGCTCCCTTGTCACCCTTGCAGGGGACAAGAACCCACAGGTGGAACTGTCCTGGACGTAATCCCAGCTGCTCTCGAGTTCCCATCAAAAGAAGTCCCTTTTGAACTTGACACCTGCTGGCCACTAAACCCCTGAACGTCTATTCACTGGGGGCCAGATTTTGCTGCGTGGGGCAACCACACCTCCACCAAGCGCCCTCTCTGTCCTTCCCGGGGGCAGGATCTGAGGTTCTGCTTGTCGTCTCAGAATTAACACCCAACCTTCCCTTGCTTTGCTGTCGTATTTTTTTTTTTTTTACGATTAATCCATTCATATCTGTGCTTTGCTTCTTCCTTCCCCAAACACACCTTAGAGCATTTCTTGCCCTTCTCAGTGGCCAAGCAATATTTTTTAATATGTTTTTATTGACTTCAGAGAGGAAGGGAGAGGCAGGGAGAGAAACATCCATGGTGAGAGAGAATCATTGATCGGCTGCTTCCTGCATGCCCCACACAGGGGATCGACCCACAACCTGGGCATGTGCCCTGACCGGGAATGGAACCGTGACCTCCAGGTTCACAGGTCGACGCTCAACCCACTGAGCCACACCGGCCGGGCCATTTTATCCGAATTTCTAAAAGGGTAGTGAGACGTTATCCTTATTTTCAAGTGGGAATAGTAATTCGCATTACTAGGACCGCTATCCACCGGCCTCAACCAGGACCCTGAAATAAGAACCAGCTGGCCCCGCGGCCATCCCTCAGCTTACAGATGCCCCCACCACGAGGTCTCCGTGTGTCCTCGGGCCTTTCCAAGACCCTCTCCTCCAGCTTTCCTGGCGCGTGTGTTAAAACGCATGGCGCCCGGCTTGGTCTCCATTCTGAGCGGCCAGAGGGCCTGGACCACGTGTGCGTTTGCACGTTATAAACTGATCTCTGCGCCTTCGCCAAGTTCATCCAAATGCCACTCTCCGCCAACCACCTCCTCCAACCACACCGCCTTTCAGAACGGAGCCGCCCCGCAGCGAGGTTCCCTCCAGCAGTGCTCCTGCGCCTCCGCCCGGGGACTCGGGGTGGCAGGACCCGTCCCCGCTGGGTCCCGCGAG